AATATAGTGAAAGAAGAGTAAATGTTAGATACAGGTATATTTCTTTAAGTCTCTTTTTTATGGAAATGAGATGGGGAATCAGTACGTTTCTTTTTCTGAGATTTGCCTGGACGTTTTTAGTTATGTCAGCCTGGGACATTAGGTTTTCTATCATGATAATAAAATTAAATACAGTCATGCACTTCATAAAGACATGTCAGTTAGTGATGGACCACATATGCAATGGTGTTCCCATAAAATTATAATATCATGTCTTTACTGTACCCTTTCTACATTTAGATATGTTTAGATATGTACATGCTTATTATTGTATTACTATCACCTACAATATTCAGTACAGTAACATGCTGTGCAGTTTGTAGTCCAGGAGCAAAAGGCTATACCATATGGCCTAGGTATGAAGTAGGCTATACCATATAGGTTTGTGTAGGTACACTATGTGATATCCGCGCAATGAGGAAACCACCTAATGATGCATTGCTCAGAATATGTCAGTAGGATATGAATCTGTGACTCAACTATAGAAGTTCTAACTCCAAATTTCTGATACATTTCAGTTCACTTTTGTCCCCAAGGAAACAATGTCTTCAGTGCAATAGAAATAAAATGATTTCAGGGACTATGATAGCTATAAGTAAAATGAGATAATAAAATCCTACTTAAAAATGAAAGAAATCTAGGATATTCTTGAAAGGGATAGATTGGAAATAAAAGAAGGCGTCATTAAGTGTCATATTACTATAGTTAAGACATACTTAAAAAACAAATAACAAAAAGTTATTTATCTTATTAAAGTATACTTAAAGATTAAATATGAACTTAATTTTACTTTCATAACTTTATATCCTTTGACTTCACCCGGACATGACTTTATAGTATAAGAAAAATACATTTACATTACTTAGAAGAATAATTCCTAATTCTTAATTCAGATTCTGCGTAATTTACTTATTGTAAGTTTTATTCTATGTGCTGCAAGAAGACATCAGCATGTCTCTTGTCTTGTACAATAAGTCATGGTACTGAGCATACTTGCACAGTAAATGATTCTATGTAATAGACAATATTAC